ACACACACACAGACAACCTCTCGTCAATATGCGTTTTCTGCATTGCATAGCTGCGAAAAACGCATAAAAACTTGCTTTTTCTCCAAAAACAAGCAAACTCCGAAGTCTATCATGCAGGGACAACATGCGTCTTCGCTTATAACGCTGCACAGTAACAACCTACAGTAACTCCGAAATAGTTTTCTGGACAATTGCGCGCTTCTTCCTAAACCAGGTGCATTTCACATCATATTGAACGGGAATAGGGATTTTGAATAGGGATTTAAATAGGGATTTTATCGAATAGGGACTTTGTTTTCAAGAGGGAGGCAGCTGTAACTGAAAAATTTAGCTTTTTTTATATGAATGGAATTTCGGAAACTGAATAAGCACGAACAATCAGCTGCCTTTTTTCCTGCCCGTTTCCCCTATTTTCCGCCCATTTAAATTTGACTGCCCACGCATTATTAGCTGAATCTGCAGTAAACTCACTGTAGTAGGAACAGCTTAAGATTCCCCATTGAATCGTTTTAGAAAGGAAAGTCCAATTTGTTATCTGCTAGGCTCGCAAGAGCCAAAGTTTTACCGAAATGTGTAAGAGCAAGTCGGATGTATGTGTGCTGCAGGAAAGGAGCAATGAACTGCTACAAAACGGAAACTGGACGAGCACAATGGTATTATATGAAGCGAGCGAATGCTGATTTCCCAATTAATTTATTCACAAAAGGAAGCCTGAAAGCTATATCGCCAGTGATGAGCAATATTCACTTGCAACGCGCAAGATGTTACAAGCACTGGATGGACGACATAGAATAAGAAAACGAGGACGGCGATGTGCGCAAACCTGGAATCAGTACTTCCCAGAGGATGCGCAAACGAATTCACTGGTTAGGCACCTTTTCTCAGCTTGAGATGCAGTTCTGACACAATTCTAGGAATGCAATTTTTAAGAAACATGTCAGATTCAAATGTGGCCGCGCATGTAGAACTAGTACGAAGAACTACGAACGATCACCAAAGGCAAGCGTTTTATATTTCGAAAATATAACGTGCCCACCGCATTCCTCACAGGATTGCACGGTTTCACAGGGACAATCGAAATGGAAGGGGCAGAACCTTCTAAATATCGGGAACTGCTATCTGAAGGCAAATAACACTAATAACAGCGTGAAGCTACCGGGGACGGAGAGACCAAAGCCACTCCTAATCCTTACACATCTCAGGCAAATTCGCAACCAGATTGCAGGAAATTGCATAAGGAAACAAGATACAATCAGTACAGTTAAAAATCATTCTAATCCAATACGATGCGACAGCCAAAACTTTGATCAAAGTATGAAACGGCGACTAGCAATCAAGCGCTCAATTCAGTATTCTGAAACTTGGTGTAACCTCAAACCTCCATCCTTTCACTCTTGCTCATCCCAACCCCTTCTTTCACTGTCAGCTAAATTAGTTCAATTTTTCAAGTTGCTAAGTCATATGCAACAGCCTTCAGTTTTCTTCCGTTGTTGGTATCCGGCAGTCGTGCTGAATTTTACTCAGATACAATTAGTACAGCTGTACTCATTTGTCAGTTAAAGACTGCTCATTTCACTGTTTAACGCAATGACTAATATTAGCCTGATAATGCCCGAGAGCTGAAATCCGTTCAGCGCAGCGCTAGTACAGAGAATCGTCCTAATTCAAGTCACTGTGCACA